TTTTCTAATGCATTCTATGGCCTGTCGGAATGACTGCCATATGAATAACTCAGGCTAATGAATTTGTTTAAAGATTTGACCTGTCGGGAGGACAGCCTTTTGTACTAATTTCCAATGCATTCTATGGCCTGTCGGGACGACAGCCAAAAAATGTGACACGATACTAGCAAACTGCGTGGGTTGCTCGATTGGCAGGAGAAAACACCCATATATATTTCCGTAGTTAGTCTCTAAATGAGAGACAAAACAAAATAAAATGTTAAAAATTACTGATTCGAAAAAAAATATATATAATTTAATTCTTGCATATAATTTTAATTAAAAAAAATAAAAATTTTATGTCTACACACAGTTTGTTATAAATAGATTAACAATGCAGTTCCATTTTCATTCATTTTAAAATCTAAAAAATAATATAGACGACAGGTCTGTCATTTTATTTATATATGTAACATTAGATGCCTATTTAATAATTTTAACGTTAATACTATCTATCATGTTATGTATTAATTATACTACAAAATTAAAGTGGTACGTATAATATTATGGTATCGTGTTATTATAGTATCAACTATATTATAATATTGCATTACGGCATATAAATTTACGGGGATTAGATACTATGCCGGAATTAATTCTATCATATAACTGCATAAGATATATTCAATAATTCTACCATCAATAGTGTGATATCTCGGTCGATTGTGATATCAAAATTTTTGGTAATGCGCAGAAGGTGATTACATAGACAAAATTTTGAGTTACGGCAATTTTTAAAAAAAACACACAATCAAGGTACAGCACTGATCTGGGGCATTTTCTTAAAGGTGGGGTCGGGTCATCGACCATCCATTTTAGAGAGTGAAAATTTTATGACAAAGTTTCGACTCAAATCAATACAAATTATCACATGGTTTGGGATATCTAAAGTAACTTGGCAACATTGCTAACACTTTAGCATGCACAACTCTTCGATTAAAGTCTGCAATTCTTAAAAAGGGTTGTTATATACTTTCCTTAATGAAGAATCATACTCACGATATATTGTTGTATTACTACAGAATTCAACAAAAAGGAAGCATAAACAAAATGAAAAAGAGAATTTGCCGAAAAAAAAATCCAAATCGACAATTACTCTTTTTTGTATGCTTAAAGATGATAGCCCATCATCTGCATTTCCAATAGAAATAGAAGGTAAAGCAATGGTTAGCGACCTGAAAGCAGCTATTGGAAAAAGGCTCAATGCCCTCCACATGAGTTGAGCCTCTGGAAAATTAATATTCCAGATAGTGATGTCGACGGGTTTGCTAACCTTACGCTTAATGATCGGGACATATTTCTTCTGACAAGCAACTTAAGTAAATATTTCACGAAGGCGCCTGCTAAAGAACATATACACGTAATTGTTTCTTTAACAAAAAATAATAATCGAGAGCAGGAGCTTCGGGATCAATTAACAGAATTACAAAAGAAGATCTGATTTTGTTACTCGATTCTAGTCCTTCGATCCTTAATCAGCTCAATCCGTTAATTGCAGATATCTGATTAACTAATTTCTGGAGGACAAATTCATAAGTAATGATCCTGGGAAAACTTCGATAATTGGCTGATTTGAGTCAACTAACTGGGCCGTAAATAATAACCAAAATCTTCGCTTTTTATTCCTTTTAAATCAAGCCAATTACCCTGAACATTTAGATATATCAGAGGGGTCCGTATTATTTCACCGACAATCACTTCACCGACAGCTCATTTAGCCGACATCACCCCAGGTGAAATTTAGTAAAAATATATACCTGCAACTTATCAAATGCTTAACCCTAACCCTATGTGATGTCGGCTAAATGAGCATTCGGTGAAATGACTGTCGGTGAATTGATCGTAACCGATATCGGAGCTGTATTACACAAGAGCAGTGCCTATTGCTTTTCTTATTCTATTCACTATGCAAAAAATAAAAATAAAAATAAACAATTAAACTAAAAGATTTAGAAACGAAATGTAGCATCATTACTATCACTCAAGTGAATCCGGATCACGATCTGAATACAGTAAAGAGGACCCGAATTTAGCTCAAATAGCTCCTGAAGAATAGGATTGAAGCTCTACTCGGTTCAAATCACCAGAAGCAGTGGCTTTTCACTTGAAGTTTCCCAAGAGATTATTCCAAAATCATGTTCATAGTAAAACACTGAGGTTCAACGTATGTTGACATTTCAGGATTCGAAATAGTCAGCAAAAAAATCATTGCTCAATAATTGACCAAAAAATATTTTGCTTAATCGACCAAAAATCAATTATATAAACTTGATCAAGTACATAATTTATAAGCTCATGTATATATAATCGATCAATCATTAGATCGATTATATCTTAACTACTAAAAAAAAAAAAATCGAAATAATAATGAATTATATGGAACTTTTCTTGATTAATCAAACATAATCAGTCAATAATTGACCAACTTTTGATTGAGTCTACAAAATCATGCTCGATTATTGGCTCAACTCGATCAATCGTGATACAATCGAGTCAATTCGAATGTTAAGTTTTAAAGTATAATAAATTAGTAAATAAAAAATAAATATAAAAGAAAATAAAGTATGTATACTTACAAGTTTCTATGGGTGATGTTATTATATAAGTCTGAATGCTATTTCCTTAGTAATGCGCAATTATTTGTCTATTGCATTTTTGTCTATCTATTTGTGGCAAAACTACCAAATAATTTAGTTTAATATATCTCAATTTCAGGGCAAATTTCATATACAATGGATGCATCTATTCCTGGTTTAGCGCAACTGCGCTGCGCGACTACTTATTACTACAGAAAGTTTTTCATATAAGTCACTCTTCTGTCTTCGATAACAGTGTCTAACACATGATTAATAAAGATGAAATTAGTATATTTATAATAATTTTTTTTAACAGTAATTACTTATTAAAATCAGACGAAGGATAAACATCTGGCTAAATATGCCATAATAATATTACACAACTCAAAGAGTGTACATGAGTTTAGCATACGCATACTTTAAGAGCCTATGAATGTCATGCATTACACCCATAACTTTCCTAAAATATACTGCTATGTTAAATCATATACTTCCAAAAGCATATAATGCTATTATTGTACCGATTACATCTTTATGACGTTATGCTAAGAGAGTTCATCCTCCCTTATCATCATAATCATATTTTCCTAAAATGTTAACTTTTTAAGACATATAATTAATGACAATTGCACAAGCCATAGGATGTAAGTTGGCATATTTGACGTTTGAGTGCACCAAAATCCTTTGCGTATCATCATAAATTTAATATACTATGAACTATAAAAAAAAAAAAAACTTCACCTTTAATTAACAACAGTGCCACAATGATATTCACATGGCACGGGACGCATTAAGGACGAATACCTTTTGAAATACTTAGTAACGGACTAAGAAAGTGTCTCGTATATACTGTAACAGTAAAAATCTACCAAAACAAACGTGATCGAACGTGTCACAAACAATAATCGAACGAATATAGATGAGCCCCGGGAATGGATCAAAAGGACGATAATAAGGTTCAGAACAATCGAGTAGTGTAAAACGATAGGAAAATCTAAAAGAGATAAAGAGGATTAGTTAATGAGTTTTAGTAATATATAAATAAAAAGCGAAATGTAATTAAACTGATCTTTCGGTAGAGCCCAGCTCCAAAAAGATTTTAATAAGCTAAAGAAACTCGTTAAATCTTCCACGCTGTCTTTCGAGTAACCCTATGTTTCGAGTAGTGTTTGAATCCGCTCCCTTCAATGGTGCTTGATTAATACGATTAAAAAAAAAAAAGGTCAACTATTATTATTATTACTTTTTCTTTCGAGTAAATTATACTACGACGTACACTTTACTGTATTATTTAACTCCACGACAAATTTGCAACGATAA